AGAAAGGATACCACCACATTTATTTAATAGTTTTCTTGAAAAATTCAACCCACTCGCAATAAAAATAATATTTTGATGAGGAAATCATGGATGGCCATTAGATCCGCCGGTCATTAGTAAAATAAATAATAATATAATAATAATAACAATAACAACTTATTACTGCTTCTTTTAATAGTTTATAAAAAATTAAAATTATTTTTAATATTACTAAAAGTAATGAAAAAATGTCACAAATGAAGATGAAATCTTTGACTTCACTTGAGATATTTATATATAATTTAAACTTATATTTATATATTAAATTCAAATTATTATTTTATATTTATAAGTTAAGAATAAAATTTATTTAACATTATTTATTAAAATAAATATTATTTACATCATAAAATATTTATTTAGAAATCTATTTTAAAAAGATAATTGTGTTGTAAACTTTAAGAAATCTTATGAAAGTATCTATCTTAAATTTATAATTGTTGAGTTAGAATGGAGTAATATCTCCCTAAAGTGACGAAGTATTGTGAAATGTTTAGTTGAAATTTTTTAATTTTAAAATTAAGCATTTTAAATTTAAAATTAAATTATAAATATTATTTAATATTTTGTTCTTAATATTTTAATTTAATTTTTTTAATATTCAAATAATTCAAATATTTAATAGGCCCAGGAGAATCGTGACTTGTTAAAGTGGTTTTGCCAGGTTAGTCTGGATTGTTTTGTTGACTTGGTTGGATTTGATGGTCCGTGTATTTTTATTAAGTATACAAAGTAGTTTTGCATTTTGTATGTAAATATTTAAAAAATTATTTTTTTTAAGGTTAATTTTAATTTAAATTATACACTTTCAATAATTTAATATTTGTATAAATTTAATTTTAATTATGCAAATTTTAATTTTATAAAAATATTATATTCATTTATACTTAAAAATTTATCAATTATTAAATTTTTTAAGATATATTTTTTAGGATAATTTTAAATTTTAAATTTATATAGTTTACAATGAGCTTAAAAAGTACATAATATTTATCATTCGCCTAGAAAAAAAAATCCATTAGTCTTAGGCTTCATTTGGGGATACTTTCTTACTGCTTCTCAAAATAATATTTAATAAAAAATTTTAATTTTTTTTGCTAAAAATAAACTTTAAGAACAATAAGAAAGCCGTCCCTAGTGAAGCCTTAGGCTTCGTTTGGAACGACTTTTTTACTTCTTCTTAAATTAGGTTTTTAATAAAAAATTAAAATTTTATAGTAAAATGCTGTTTTAAGAAGTAGTAAAAAAGTCTTCCCAAATAAAATCTTAGTGATAATTTATCTTGAAGGAATGCGAGACAGCATATTACTATTAGAGGAATCCAACACAAATTATTATGATTTGTATAAATTTTATTATCGTCACATACCATATAATTTTTTTTTTAACTTAAATTGACTTTAATGTTATTTTCAAAGTCATAAAATAGCTTTAGGTCAAATAGTCACATGGCCATTTTAAATAAAAAAAATGTATATTAGTTTAATCAGTAAAGAATCTTTGGGCAATTTAGTTCAAACTAATCTCATATTTATTTTAATGTAATGACCTAATGTCTTATCTTTAATTAATAAAAGTTTTATAATAAATTTCATTTCTCGAAAGTACCAAATTAATCAATTAATGTGAAGACAAACTCTTCAAAAATAAAATTTATACAAAGCATATGCTTAGTTGCTGTTTGGTTGTAAGTATTTAAAATTTTGAGCAACTTCTAATAAAACTTATTTTAAATATAATATATTTTAAATTTAAGAGATTATTTATTTATATTTGATTAAAACTCATAAAAAATAAGAATTTAAAATAAAAAATAATTATGATGAGATGAAACCCCAAGGAGATCACAATGGACTTGCAGGGGAAGGCGTTGGCAAGATTAACAATATGTGAAGGAGATTGTTTGAGTAGCCAAAGTAGAAGAGACCACTTGGCCTAATTCTTAGAGCACTTTGAGTCGAAAAACATATTTTCACTCTAAAATATAATAAGAGATATATCAAACATCAATTCAATTCTAATTAACCAAAATCCATTTCTAACCCCAAAGGAAAATATTCTATGCATATACTTTCTCTATGGGGAGCGGCGATTCTCCCTCCTCCCTCCCTCCTCCCTCCTCCCTCCTCCCATCACTGACACTCAGTCTTCCCCCAGCTACCATCTTCTCCTTCATGTTCCTTTTGTCTTCTTCCTCAAATCCCCAAAACCCAATAATCTAAAACCCTAGATGTATTCATCTTCTCAAAAACTACAAATACACAATCCAAAGTATTGAAGAGTAAGTCTATTCAAACTCTACTTTGCTAGGGCTCCCGCCTTCGTGTTCCCGGCGGCCTGCCCGCTGGTGTGTTTGCTCCTTGGCTCCAGGGAAGTTTTCTTCCCTTGTTTCATTTTCATGCGGTGTTCTTTTTGTTCATTTTGATTTTGTTTTAGTGATTCCGTTCTTCCTCTCAGAATGGGGGGAAGCGGTTGTGTGGTCGTAGGTTTTTGGAGGGATCGTTCAAATTTAGGTCCTTTCTTGAGGCTCTTGCTGGTTCATCCTCTGATGGTCAATTTTCTGACCTAAAACCTTCATCCTTTCATGATTTACCTTCGCTGTGGATTTCGGAGGATGAAATCAAGGCACTTGCATTTCCTTTTCAATTTTCTTTAATTGGTTTTTTTCCTTCTAAGAGGCTTTCTCTGGACTTTATCCATAGGTTTATCTTCTCCATGAAGCTTTCGGGTGAGGTATCTGTTACTTTGCTTGATCAGACACATGTCTTGATCAAGTTGAGTAACGACCTTGATTACTATAGAATTTTTTGCCATCGTTTTTATTTAGTTCAAAATTATTATATGAAGTTGACAAAGTGGTCTCCTCTATTTGATGTTGGTGTTGAGTAGCCTGTGTCCCTATCTAGGTCTCCTTCCGCAATCTCCATCCTCACTTGTTCTCTCCCCATATCCTTTTTGGCTTGGGTTCAATTTTTGGTAGACCGCTTAAGGTTAATTCGGCTAATTCCGTGGGTTCCATACCTTCTGTCACTCGTGTGCTTGTTGAGCTTGATATCACGAAATAGTATTCGGATAAAGTTTGGTTGGGTCATGAGAACCTAGGTTATGTTCAGCAAGTATCTATGGAAACTTTTCCTGCTTTTTGTGGCTCATGTAAATGTATAAGACATTTGAGTGGTGATTGTCATCCTCCTCAAGCTTCCACGACAAACACTATTCCTGTTCCTCCTCTCTAGTTAAATCTGAATGTTTACGATGAGGGTGATAAGGTGGTTAATTTGATTTCTTGTGATACTAGAGATGGAGCTCCATTTTTGTGTCCCGAAATTGGGAATGTTTTTGTGTGTTAAATAATGTTAGTAATGTTGTTCATGTAGTTATTAATGCTATTTCTAATTTGCCTAAGGATTCAGTTTTGAACTCAGCTATTGTTGAGGCTTCTAAGCCTGATTTGGCGTTAAGTGATTTGCATGATGTTTCTGTTACTAGTGCTGATGCTCTGGTTGCCCGGGATGTCAACTCTCCTATTTTGGTTGAAATTTTGACTCCTGTGGGCTCTAATAACTTGAGTGTTCTCAACTCGGCTGGTGGTGATGCCGTCCCCACTATTAACTGTGCCTTGAACTTAAGGGCTAGTTCTTTTAGTGGGAAGGATGAGGTGTTGTTGAGGGATGATTCTTCTGAGGAATTAGCTTTGATTGCTGAGCTTGAGTGTAATTGTGATATAGCCCTTAATGTTTCTTCTTCCCCTGTGCAGTTGGATGAATATCTTGTTGAGGTCCCATTTAATTTAATCTCGTCTAATGTCTTGGTTGGCCATATGGGTGGCAGACCGGGGGATAGTGTTAGATTGCAAACTGTTTGGCTTGAAATTTCATCCCCCTCTTCTTCTGAGGCTGAAGAAGAGGTTGTTTTACCTCAGAAAGGGCTTTTGCGAGATGATCATTTTTGGGTGGATAAAGGTTCAAAACGGAAATAAAAAAAATAGTTCTTGTCTGATGTGATTGGTGGCTGCGGTGTTGGTTGTTTTGTGTCTCCTCCTAATTGATTTACTGTTGCTTTTTCTGGTTATGTATTTTGTTGACCGTGCGGATATTGCTAGTTTTTTTAGCGATGATGTGGCTCGGGCTCATTACTTTGAATCTGTGGCTAGTTGGCAATCTTTGGTAGTGGTTCTTATTAGTGGTGATGGCGGTTGGTTGGCTATTGGTGGATTTTTGCACTTTCACTCCTCTGGATGGTCCATGCCTGGATTTGGAGCGGTTGATAGTCTATGCCAATGTTGAGCGTGGCGGCCTTTGTGCCTAATTATCTCATTGTTTGAGTTTCCTTTTGTATTCTTCTATTATTCTGGTCTCTTCTTCCGAACATTTTGTTATTTTGGCCTTTGTTATAACCCATTTATCTTATTGGAATTAGATTTTCATTAAAAAAAAACTTGCTCTTTTTTTTTTTTCTAAAAAAATGCGTTCATGAACAGTCCAACTAGTTCAAAACACAAAAAAGTCCCTTTGAATGATGCTCAATTGGATGCTAGTGCTAGTGCTAGTGTGAGCTGCAAACTCCCGATTGACATGCAATTGATGATGCTCTTACGGTGATGTGTGAAGAACATGGAGAAATTATTCTGTACGGTCATCAGACTGTCCCGAGGCGAAATTAAGATGTGACACATCATCAGATACATAGCTGCGATACATAACAAAATGATGACGTGACGCATCATGTTTCACCTACGAATGACATCCAATAATCGCACATAATAATTTCACGAAGAATAGGAAATCATCGAGCACCATGGATTTTGAATTCATCTTACTTTTAAATTATTTCAAAATACATCAAATTAAAACTGGATAATACCTATCAAATTTCTCCTAAAAACACACTTTTGGGTAATGAACCAAGCACTTAAATCTGTAGAAACCATATATATAAAACAAATTAAACTTGATCGCTCCTAACCTCTCTGAATGGGATGGGATACGTTAGTACTTTACCACTAACATTAATTTGACATTTTTCTGAAACAAAACTAGAATTTTAATTAGGAACCCTAAAAATCATGGATGGTCGGCTTCACTTCCCCCATCACCACCTTCGCCGTCTTTGAAAACAAAGCATTCGACACACTAACTGCTCCGTCCACAACGATATTCTGTCCACTGATAAATGCTGAATCATCAGACGCCAAAAACAAAGCCGCCGCTGCAATATCCGCCGCCCTCAGCACGGCCCCTTTCAACACCGCCGCCTCGCAAGTCAACTTCTCAACCAACTCCGCCGTCATCATTCCGATCCCACAACTCAACGGCGTCGCCACACCAAACGGGGAGACGCAGTTAACTCTCACCCCCTTCTCCCCAAGCTCCCCTGCCGCCGCCTTCACCAACCCCAACACTCCATGCTTCGCTATCGTATACGCCACCGGTGCGAATCCACCCACCGCCGCTGCCACGCTCGCCGTACAAATAATCGACCCTCTAATCCCGCGGCGACCATCGCCCGCCCCGCGTGCTTGATCGCCGCTGCCATCCCACGCACGTGAATGGCGAGAAGGTTGTCGAGATCGGACATATTGAGGTCGAGGATGGAAGTTAACGGCCCGAGGATGCCGGCGTTGCTGAACATGATGTCGAGGCGGCTGTGGGTTTGGATGGTTTGGTCGACGGCGGCGGCGACTTGGAGTTCTTCGCGTACGTCGCAGTGGAGGTAGGTGCATTGGCCGGGAGGGGAGATTGAGTTTGCGACCGAGATGCCGAGGGAGTCTTGGATGTCGGCGATTACGACGATTGCGCCTTGGGAGGCGAAGAGGCGGGCTGTTGCCTCGCCGATGCCGCTGGCTCCGCCGGTGATTATGGCTACCTTGCCCTGTAAGCGGAGAGTGGAAGCCATCCGTGCGCCACTAGCGAGCTAAAAGAGTTTTTTCTTTTCTCTTTTTAGTTCGATGATGGCTGCTGGGAACGTCGGTTTATGTAGAGCTGTAGGAGTTGAAAATGGCCAAATTTTGCATTTTTTTTTTTAATTTTGGTTTTGCTGAGGTGCTGTTTGGTATTTGATTGGATTTAATTTAGTGGGACTGTAAATCCTACATATCGATTTAATAAATTACGAGGCTGTTAAATTCTGAAAAATATTTAGTGTGTAAATAAACTTTGTCAAATTCCGAGAAATTTTTTGACAGCAGATCTCAGGAACCTTATAAGGTTGTAGAGCTTTAAATATGAATTGAATCACTTAAATTAGTTTTAATTATTAATTTATTTTTAATGTAATATTAATGATTAGTTAATAATTAGATAATTAGTAATATAAAAAATAATTTGATAATTAACATCTAAATAATATAATAACTAATTTAATGACAATTATACAACTAATAATTAATTATTTAAATAATATTCCTACTAATAATTTGATTAATTATTTAAATATTATTTTGTTAGTTTTAATTATAAATTATATTATTAAATGCATTAATTATGCTACTAATTATTTACTTAATTATAGATTAGAGATGTCTAGGGTTTGCTTATCATCTTTTCTTTTTCGTCGTTGCTGTTTGGCTTCGTTGCTTCGTAGTGTAGAGATTTCACGAATCACTTCTTCGACTCCTTTGTTGATGTTCGACTGTGCTCCTTCAATGATGTTCCTTCATATCAGATATGAAACCACACCTCCTTGTCGTTCTTTGTTTGATCAGAAGTAACGACGACTATGAGAGCTTGCTCTTGCTTGTTGCCAAGGTAGCCATCTTTCTTTCTTTCATGTGCTTATTCGACCAAATCCTGTTAAATTCGCCGAACGATGGGATTTTAAATTTAGGAGGATTTGCGCCGTAAATCCGTAAGTCCCGGATTTGCACAGGCATCAGATTTACGAGACCTCAAAAAATAGTTTAGCTGGATTTAGCATAAATCTAACTTAAATCCCGCTCTAATGAGAATTAGAAAAATATTTCTAATTGTGTAATCCTGTCTTTATCAATTTTAAAGAAGATCAAATTCTTATATCTATAATTATACAGTAGATTATATAAATTGGGCGTCACTATTTTTCTCTTTCTTAGATTTTCCACATAAAAATTTTAGTATCTCTTATAACTTCTGTCTTTGTATGCTAGGTTTTTATGCAAATCTAAAAAATGAAACTCTTTATCACCATAAAGTTTTTAGCACAATAGTTTCATATGTGAAAATTATTCCCAATATACTCTAAATTTTTAAATGATTGTCAAGAAATCTCTCAACCAAGAATCATCTAAGTGGTGGAGGCCAACCATGTTTTAATTTTGAGAAGTATATGCATAAGATGGAATACTTTATGTTTAAACCATACATTGCTTAGAAAACGCTAGACAACAAAGCTCCATCACAAAACAATTGGCTTCTTTTACTATAAAATTAATAAAATTATGTGGCAGATACATTTGATGCTTATGCAACCCTCCACATATAACAACTCCCCCTCTCTTACAACCTCATTAAGATCTTTTGAATGCTACTAATCCAAGTCATCCTTCTCATGTTGTTTGACCAATTTGTAATCCGCCACTAGCCATGGAGGATTTAAATTTAAATCAACTTATTGATGCCCTTTGTGATTTTATAAGAGATAAGCTATGATTTTTTTATTTAAGAGGAATTTCTTTGAGGAAAAAGTCATCTTATTCTTCATCATGACTTTCTAGAATGTTCATCCTTAACTGATGCAATTATCTAGCATCCTATTCGAATGAAGTTTAGGTTGCCTCTATTTGATCCATATAACAGTACTTTTGACTCCTATGAAAATATTGACCACTATATGACTAAAATGCATATTCAATAAGCTTATGATACAAACTTTTATCACGTATTTCATTCAACTCTTAAGCGATAAGATTGATGCACATGATTTTTTCCTCTCTCTAATAAAACTAATACTTTTTTTGATTTAGTTAGGATTTTTGTTGAATAAGTTATTGCCGATCATAAGAAAAATAAAATATGGCATCATCTTTTTAGGATTTAGCAAAATGAGGAAGAGACCGTTAAGAAATATTTTTAAAGATTCTCTTTCGAAGTACATCATCTGAGTAGTTAAAGGTTCAAGATATGATCTTTTGTGTTTGAATATATATTTTCTAATTTTTGGTATAGTCATGACAAGTTATTTCCTTGTTATATTCTCATTTATTACCATGTACTATAGCATAAAATTTTGTAGTGTACATACATTTTAAATTTGAATAAAAGTAAATAAATTTGTGGATGAGTTTAGTTTCAGAATAATTTAAAGTTAATTAGTTGCTTTGTAGTCTATTTTAAATCAATAAAATTTAAAAGTTCTCTAAAGCTTAGATCTTTGTCTTGGTCTGTCACCATTCAAAATGATTCATAGTTAATTGAAGCAGCTCTAGGTAGGATTGGGCTTTCATGTTTACTTATTTTCTTGTGTATGTCTGTTGAGTTGTGTGCCACTTCTATGATTGTTTGATGGATTCATAAGACCTGGATATGATAGATGGGTAGAGTATTAGTAAAAAAATGCTAGTGTAGAGTACAACTCATACTACTAGTTCTGATTCAATGACTCATTTTACTAGTCTAGTGGCACAATTAATTGATGGATGAAGCCCATAGTAGGATCTCTCTTATTAAATCTGGTGATGCTAATAGATACTTATAACTACTTTTGAGGTTGAAGCCTCTAAAGTTTGAAGGCACAATAGAGCTCAGAGTAGCAGATGGCTAGTTAATGAGATGAGAAGACTTTTGATGGTATGTAGTGTCCTCCTAAGAGGAAGTTATCTCTAGCTGTATTTTTATTAGATTGGGAGGCTGAGGGCTGGTGAATGAGCCAGCATAATAAGAAGTTTCATAGAAGGTTGAATTCCCTGATCAGCTAGGAGTAGCTTACATATGTTTTTAGGGATTCATTTATACCTTCGTTTATGCAGCAGCAGATGTATAAAATATTTTTGAGGTTGGATTAGGGGAGAATGATTGTTGTCTGATATGATGCATAGTTTATCACCCTAGTCAGGTATGCTCCATAGTTAGTTAGCACTAAGCATTACAAATTTCTAAGAGGAATCTAAGGCGGTTTGAGGTAGTCACTAGTTCCATTTCATATTACTAATTTTTTTGAGTTCGTAGAGAGAGCCCATCTAATACAGAATGACGTATTAGCTACTCAGCAACAGTGGGCTACTAGTAAGAAGAGGTTTCGTAATAAGATTTTTAGTAGTTACTTTTCTTGGGAAGAGGAATAGGTTTAGGCGTAGAGACTCCAAGAGAGGTGGTCTGTCTGTATCAGCTCCCAGAGGAGACAATACTTCTAGCTCTATAGGTTTTTTGAGTGGATTATCTGTGTGCCATAGTTGTGGCAGGAGACACTTTGTTTATTGATGTTGGATGATGGGTCAATACTTTTGATGTGGTTAGATTAGATATATGGTAATTAAGTGCCCACAAGGACTTGATTGATGTTGTAAGCATAGGTGTGAGAGTATTATTAGACTGATAAAGAGACTAAGGATATTTACACCTCATGTGTTTACAAAGGGATCATATAGTATATGTAAGCTTTGGTTCTATAGTAGGGAGGCCATCTAGGGGTGATAAGAGAAAGCAAGGTAGTTTTATTATTCTAGTTCTAGTTCAGGAATGCATATATAGTTTGACTCAACATGAGGCCAGGGGTGCTCAAATGTGGTCATAGGTACAACTTTTATTTCTGATATACCTTACCACATTTTGTTTGATTTTGGAGCCAATCACTCATTTATTTATGAGAGATATTTTGATTTTCTATGTTTACCTTCCATGTTGTTTCCTTATTCTTTTTTTTTATTATTATTTTGCTAACTTGGGTTGGCATGTTAGCCCATAGAGCATGCATAATGATATAGAGATATACTATAGAAAATAGAGATTTGTACTAATATTTTTATCTGTTTGTAAGTTTGATATTATTCTAGGTATGGATTAGTTGAGTCTATAGAGCTTAGATTAACTATTTGAAGAAGAGAGTAACTTTAATTTTTGTTAGCTAAAGCTTCTTATTTAAAGGAGTTAGGGTAGTCCTATCATATTGATATATGTTGTGCAAGAAATAGGTTATTAAGGAAGGGTTATACAATATTTTTGGAATCTATTTAAGATAGGAGAATGAAATCTGGATCCCTAGAGATTTTCTCAATAATATTGGAGATTTGTAATGCATTTCCTAAATAGTTGATAAGTTTTTCACCTAATAGGGAGATTGAGTTATATTGATGTATTTCTTGGTACTACTATGATATCCATAGCTCCATATAGGATGTTATCTAAAGAATCTTGAGAGTTAAAGGTACGACTTTAGGAGTTAGTTGATTGAGGTTTTATTTATCCTAGTATGTCTCCATGGGGAGCAACTATTTTGTTTGTTAGGAGGAAGGACTGTACTATACACATATGTATCGAATGTTTGGAATTGAACAAGTTTAGTAAAGAATAAGTATCCTTTGCAAAAAATTAATAATTTATTTGATTATCTTGTGGAAGCTTTCATATTTTCAAAGATTAATCCAAGGTTTGAGTATTATCAAGAGAAGACGTGACAAATACTACATTCAGTAACTAATGAAGATATTATGAGTTTAAAGTCATGCAATTTTTATAGATATAATGAATAAGATGCTTAAGGAATATCTTGATCAATTTGTGTTGTGTTCATTGATGATATTCTAGTTTATTCAGCCTCTAAGGAGGATCATTTAGCTCATATGAAGGTGAGATATTGAGACAATATTAGTTGTATGCAAAATTCTCTAAATGAGAATTCTGGTTAAGGAGTATCTTATTTCTAGGGCATGTGGTGAGCCGTGCAGATATCTCTATAGATCTCAAGAAATTTTAGGCTATTGTTGATTGGTCCAAGCCTACTACAATATCTAAGGTATAT